TGAGAGGAACACAAGAACAAATGGCAACAACAGTAATTACTATAGCATAGACAATCTTGCAACAATAGTATTAGTGAACGCTAATTTATGAATGGATACATAGGTAGATAGGTATGCCAAGAGGTGTGGGAGGGTGTAAGGGAAGACAACCACCTGCAGATATAGGTTTGGCGTGGCTATTTCTACATACATAACAGTAGGTGCTGCTTATATATTAACATAGACAATACAGCACACAAGGGCCACAGTCAGGCCAACTGCTTAGACATAACCCCACACATCGTGGGATGAAATTCCTAGGCTCAAAGGTGAAGGACCATAGACTTGGGGGACATCTACGTCAATTGACACAACATAGTTTATAAAGACAAATTTCTGTGTCCTGCTTTGGTGAATAGTATGTGGGGTCTTAAAAGCTTGTGAGCAGCCATCTAAGATACAATTATTGGTCTCTTCTTATCCAGAGCAAAGGAGAGTGAAGAAAACCAAAGACTTAAGGGAGTAATTAGTCCAAAGGACTAATTGACCACATGAACCACAGCCTACACAACCCTGAGACCAAAGAACTAGATGGTACCCAGCTACCACCACTCTGATTGGGATCACAACAGAGGGTCCCAGATAGAAACAGAGCAGGAGAAAAATTGTAGAACAGAAAGTCAAATTCAAAAAATTATCAGACTTACTGCTCTGACAGAGACTGGAGGACTCCCTGAGACTATGGCCCTAAGACACCCTTCTGAACTGGAACTGAAGCCATTCCTGAAGACCACCTTTCAGTCAAACCATAGATAGGCCCATAAAATAAACAATAACACCCGAGAGGAATGTGCTTCTTTGAACAAACAATTATATGAGATCAAAAGGGCAACATTTGCCCAAAAGCAAAGATGAGAAGGCAGGATGAAAGGAAACGGGGAACCTAGGACAGAAATGGGGAGAGAGCTGACACATTGGCTGAAATGAAACCAATGTCATGGAACGCTTCACATAAAAAGTATCGAATGGGAAACTAATTTGATCTGTAAACTTTCACATAATACACAATAAAAATTTTTTTAAAAAGATTCCTTCCTTCTCTGGGATTAGAGATTCTATGCTTCTTCCATACCCTCCTCCCCCACTCCCTACTCCTGAAACATCCTAGTACTTAGAAGAGGTGACAGAAGCCATTCAATACATTCTCGTGGTCTTATAAACGAATTGTGTCCAAGAAGCAGAAAATGAACCTTGAACTGAGTACTATGCAAATTACCATCCTGACATTATCTTTACTTCCTATTATAAAATTGAATTTTGTCCCCCAAATAGCTTTGTTGAAATCCAAACCCCTGGTACCTGTGAACATGACCTTGTTTGGAAACAGGGTCTTGCAAGACGTTATCAGTTAACATGAGGTCATACTGGAGTAGGGTGGGTCCTAATCCGAACTGAGCGTTGTCCATGTAAAAGACAAGAGGCACAGAGAGAAACACAGGGGGAAGACGGCCATGTGGAGTGCATCTATAAGCCAAGGAACACCAAGAAATGCCTAGGGTTACTAGAAGCAAGAGGAGACAAGGAAAAATCCTTCCCTTGAGCAGACAGGTCGATCATGACCCTGTAGACAACCTACATTTACATGAGTAAAAAAGACCGAAGAAGAATTGATGCCTTTGAATTACAGTGTTGGTGAAGAATATTGAATATACCATGGACTGCCAGAAGATCAAATGAATCTGTCTTGGAAGAAGTACAGCCGGAATGCTCCTTGGAAACAAGGATGGCAAGACTGCTTCTCACTTACTTTGGACATGTTATCAGGAGGGACCAGTTCCTGGACAAGGACATCATGTTTGTAAAGTAGAGCGTTAATGAAAAAGAGGAAGACCCTCAACGAGATGGATTGACACAGTGGCTGCAACAATGTTTTCAAGCATAACAATGATTGTGAGGATGGCACAGGACCGGGCAGTGTTTCGTTCTGTTGTACACGGGGTTGCTATGAGTCGGAACTGACTCGACGGCACCTAACAGCAACACAACCCTCCCTGTTCTTATAAGCCACTCAGTTTGTGACATTTTGTCACGGTAGCTCTAGGAAACTAATACACTTTCCCACAGAAAGGCAGACACTTATTAGGTATGTGATTTAAGACAAATTAACGTCTCTGAGTCTCTTTCTTCATTAAAAAAATTATTATAGTAGACAGTTCAGCTAAAATGCTGGATATAAGTTCAACATACACAAAATAAAATTGCATTTCTTTACACCAGCAACAAATAGTTTGAAACATAACTTACAAAGATATTATCTATAATAGCAATGTGAAATATAAGGTGTCTGTGAATAAACATAACAAAAGCTATATAAGATCCTTTTGAAGAAAATGATAAAGCTTTATCGAAAGACATTTAAAAAGAAGACCTAAAAAAATCAGAAAAATAACCATATTCATGGATTGGAACACTTGATTTTCTTCAAATTAATCCATAAACTCAATGCAATTCCAATCAACTTCCTGTCATGGATTTTGACAAGCTGGTGGGCCAAAAATAACCAAGACAATTTTGGAAAAGAATCAGGTAGTGGTAGTATAGAGCAGATAAAAAAACCAAAAACCAAACCTTTGGCCGACTCATAGCAACCCTATAGGACAGAGCAGAACTGCCCCATAGAGTTTCTGAGGAGCTCCTGGTGGATTCAAACTTTGGACCTTTGGGTTAGCAGTCATACCTCTTAATCACCATGCCACCAGGGTTTCCATAGAGCAAATAAGTTACCCTTAACTGCCTATAGCAATTAAGATAATGTGGTCTTGGCACAGGGAGAGAAAAACAAAGCAATGCAAAAGAATTGCGAGCTCACAAAGAGACTCTTACGTATATGAAAATAATATTTCACAGAATTAAAATTAAAGATCAAAGAGGAAAGGATGGACTAATCAATAAAACTATGCTGGAAGAATTGGTTATCAGTGTGGGGAAAAAAAAAAAAAATAGATCCCCACTTCACTCGTTTCCTAAAAGTAATTCCATATGGATTAAGACATAAAAGTAAAAAGCAAAACTTTGAAAATTTTAGAAGGAAATATAGGAGAATAAATATTTTTCTGAAGGATTTCTAAAACATGGCCCAAATTCAACGCATAAAAGAAAAGACTGATAAATTTGCATTAAAATATCAAACACTAAAAATGAAGAGACAAGTTATAAACTAAAGAAAATATTTTTGCAGTGAGTATCCACAATATATGATAATCCATACAAATAAATAGAAAAAGACAAACAAGGAAATTAAAGAATGACCAAAGGCTGTTAACAGGCCTTTCACAGAAGAGAAGGGCCAAATGGTCAATAAACATATACAAAAACGCTCAAGCTGACTAGTCACCAGGGAGCTGTAAATTAACGCTTCAATAAGATATCGTTTCACATCCATCATACTGACAAAAATTAAAATGTCTGACAATATTAAATGTGGCCAGAATATGAGAATGTGAACTCTCATCACTGTTGGTGGGAGTACAAATTGGTATCAATCACTTTAGAAGGTATTCGGATAGTATCTTCTGAAGTCGAAGATGGCCAGACCCTATGACTCCTAGAGAAACTCTTGCACTTCTGCTCAACACAACGCAGAGATTAACATAGCAAACAAGCAAAGACATAATAACCCAATTCCAACTGTTCGTCAACAGAAACATGAGTCAATAAATTCTAATATAGTTATATGATGGCGATACAATAAATAAATAAATAAACCCAGTTGCTGTCGAGTCAACTCTGACTCATGGCAATCCCATGTGTGTAAGAGTAGAACCATGCTCCATACGGTTTGCAATGGCTGATTTTTTAAAAGCAGATCGCCAGACCTTTCTTCCAAGGCACCTCTGAGTGGACTCGAACCTCCAACATTTTAGGTAGCAGCCAAGCGCATTAATGGTTTGCACCACCCAGGGACTCCAAATATACACTATATAATCCCATTTAAATATTTTTTTAAATAAGAGAAATAATGTGTTGTGTAGACAAGTTGTGTATAAGTTGTGTTTAAGATGTTTACTTTATCTTATAGATGTAATAAAATTATGATGACGTCTAAACATCAAAACCAGCTCAGCAGCTACCTCCAGAGTGGAGGAAGGACAATGTGATCTGAGAAAGGTACAAGAAGCCTTCAACCATCATAATATCTTATTTCTTAAGATGAATGGTTGGCGAATTGCTATTCATTATAGTAATCTCTCTACCTTTTTGTGTATCTGAATTATTTCATAATAAAAACATTTAAAGAGTATATTTGGAGTGGATGATCCCATCACCACAACGCCAACAGCCAAATAGGGCCCTACTGGTGCAATTGTTAAGTGCTCGGCTGCTAACCGAAAGGTCGGTTGTTCAAACCCACCGAGCGGCTCCGTGGGAGAAAAGACCTGTCGATCTGCTCCCTTAAAGCTTACAGCCTAGGAAACCTTACAGGGCAGTTCTACTCTGTGCTGTGAGTCGGAATCAGCACACAACAACAACAGCACATAAGCTCAGTGTACATTAAAATTGGGTTTTCTCTCCCTACTCTGGGCTCAGAATAGTCATTTAAATTCTGGGCACCCTAGCTGTGCCTCCAGTTCCCCTACCTCCCTTGGCAGAGTCTCAATGAACCCTAATAAGCATTCAGGCAAAGAAAAGATGTTTTGCCTTTAGCCCTGGGCACCAGGAAGAACTTTAAAACTCCTGTAGGGAGCTAGCAGGAGAAGGGACTGAGAAGACAAAAACTGAGCAAATAGCCCCAAACTTTAGCCCTAAGGTAGGCATTATTGTAGATTAACTTTTACTATTCTGGCCAGAAGGAACACCAAGGCTTTTGGTGTTTACATCAGGCAAGCAAATAAAACCAGTTTACACACCCCAACCAAGCGACCAGCGGGCAAGAGCTGCATTGCCTTAGATTTCCCCTCCACACCATGTACAATGCACCTGTCTTTCAGCAACTGCCAGAGAAGAGGGAATGTCGTCATAAATCACCTGGGCATTTTATTTGTCTCTTGACGACGAGCTGTGTGATAAGGTATCAACACAAGGTCTACTTCTGAAATCTACCACCGCATTGGCACCTTGCTCCTTCTAAGGAAGAATGAAGACAAATTACAGAGTCACCCCAAACAAGAAGATCTGCCACCCGGGCATGGCTAATAAAGAAAACGAGCACAAGCCAGTGACAGAGGACAATGACCCCAGACTGCCAAGCCAGCCCTGGAAAGTGCTGCTAGCAGGCAATTTTGTTGAGCTTCTGTCAGTCTGAACCCCACACCCAACTGGCATCCCTTACAGATAAACTTCAGACACTGCTCTGGTCTCCTCACCATTCTGACTGGAACGCCTAACACTACATGTGTCAAATCTATTCCTACAATTTGGCAAAACAGTCTTGATAATTAAGTCAAGCCCAAGGCTTGGGAAGGTCGTCCTTAGCTTGGCTGGTTTCTCCTTCGGTGCCAAGATTGCAGGAGCCTTTTGTTGGGGATGGGTAGCAGGGGCTGCAGTTCTGACTTAGATGAACCTCAATAGTTATGAGGTTCATTTCGTAGGCCCAGTTTCTGCCCTGGCGTTGTGCGGCTTGTAAAAAATAGTAACTCACAGGGAAAATCACCCGAAGTTTTCTTCTCACTTCTGTCTCAGGCAGTCCTAACTCAGAGGTGAGAGAGTGAGAAAGAGTTTGAAAGTCAAAGTGAAATAGAAAGAGATGGGGGAGTGGGTGCTGGGGAATAGGGAGGGAGCAGAAACAGCTGCTCTGCTGCTGCTGCAGGAGGCAGGGAGGCTAGAGACTAGCTCAGCTTCCTCTCAGGACTATGTGGCCAGGCCCGAGGAGAAGCAACCTTGCCCAAGACCTTCCTGGGCGGCGGGGGGCTTACACTTTCTCTTTCTGTCTCTCTCACATGCACATACCCTCCCTCACATACAGACATCTCTCACACATATACACACATCTCTCTCACACACATGCACACACACATCTCATACACACATCTCTCGCACACATGCACCACACAACGTCTCATACACACACTCTCACACACATACACACATCTCTCCCTTTATCTCTTTCTTTCTCACACACACATACAAGCACACACACATCCTTCACACACCTCTCTCACACACGTACACACTCATACATCTCATATACACAGTCTGTCGCACACATCCACCTCTCTCTTACACACGCATCTCTCTCTCTTTCACACACACACACACACACAGCTCATGTAGGAGGATGGGTTCTGGCTCCACATTGCCTGATTTGGATCCTGGTTTTGCCACTTACCGTCTTGATGACCTCAGGAAAGATACTAAGCCATTGGATGCCTCAGTTTCTTCTTTCCTCAAAAAGAATGATAATAGAAATGACGGTACCTACCTCACGGGCTTGTCAGGAGGATGAAATGAGTTAATATGAGTAAAGTGCTTAAAAGAGTACTTGGCATAGAGTGTGTGACATTAATGTTACTCAATCAAGCTGTGAGGTATCTGACTCCTCATCCTCTCTTCACTTATCCTGCTTCAATCCTGTCCCAGTAAAACTCCCAAACAGCCAGGTGCCTGCAGGCTGCTCTACCCACGTCTCCCCTAGGCCCAGAGAAAGGTGGATGGGCTGGGAGATCAACTACCCCCACCTCCACACCCAAAGTTCAAAACAATTGCTGCCAGAGGAGGAAGGTTCAAGACTCCCCAACTTTGCCTCAGTCACCAAGTTTCTCTATATTTTACTCAGGAGTACTGAGTGCGAGGGAGATATGGCAGCCTTTGACCATTGCCCGTTAGCCTGTTCCCTCTGGTTCCCATACCTCACATTTGGGAGAGGGCAGGTTAGGATCGTCCCTGTTCTCTTACTGGTATTAGGCTGAAATTTCAGAAATGGCTGTGTCTGACACTCAATGTCTTCCCTGCAGCCCTGATCGGGGCCCTTGCTCCATTTCCCCCAGAAACATGGCTAATGCTTATTGAGTGATTAATATGTTCCAGGCTCTGTGCTAAACATTTTACATTTATATTATCTCTTTTAATCCTTCCATGAACCCTATAGTACTAATACTATACCCATCTTACAAATGAGGCAAATAAGGCTTAGGGAGGTTAAGTGACACGCCAAGGTCTTACCTCTTCTTATACCTATGGAACTTGCTTGAAGCTGTTGTCCCTTATTTGTTCTGCGGGTCTCTCTAGGAGGGTATGATTGTTCCCCATTTCCCTTCTACTTGTCTTAGCTTCCTGACAGCACGTAAAATGTTTAGCACACAGCCTAGTATATAGCAACATTAGCTATTGTTATTATAGAATATTTATTGAATACACTATATTGGGCACTGGGGGTGGGCAAAGAATAGAAGACACAATTCCTGCCCTCCAATTCCTGCTTACATCCTAGTATCAGGGTGAATGAGATGTGAAAAAGAAACTCACATGAGAGCACATTGCAAATGCATCCAATAACTGCTAAAATAGAACAGCCAGAGAAGAGATACCCATGGACTGATATAGTCCAGGAGACTCCTGTAGGAGGTGGGAAGGATGGGGAAGATTTCAGAGAGGATGGCGATTGTCCACAACAGAGTACAGGAGAGATGAAGGCATTTCCCATGAGGGCTTCCATTCTCAGAGCCTAAGCAAGTCCTGGCAGGTTAGAGCTAGAGCGGGGAGGGCATCCCAGAACTGTGATCAATCAGTGTTGCTGCTGTGTACTAGGCCTAGTGATGGCCAGGAGGTAGTGCATTGCTGTGCTATGGGGCAGAGCTTTGGAGTCAGTCTTCCTGATTTACAAATGTGATATTTAGTGGCTGCATTTCATCATGTAGATGCACCACAGTTTATTTAACCATTCATTCTTATTGGGCTTTTGGGTTGTTTCTCAATTTTTCTCACCTATTATAAATAATGCACCAAGGAAAAATGACAATAAGTATGAATTTGACTATCAGAGAGGCCTGGGTTTGAGTTTCTTCTTGGCCATATACGAGTGATGTGACCACAGGTGCCTCAGAAGAAAGGTCTGGTGATCTGCTTCTGAAAAAAATCATCCATTGAAAACCCTATGGAGCACAGTTCTACTCTGACATATAATATATAAGCAGTCAAATGTAGACAGCGTTCTAAGAGCATTACATTTTAATACATATGATTCTCCACCATTAAACCAGTTGCTGTGGAGTTGACTCTGACTTATGGCCACCCTATGTGGGTCAGAGTAGAACTATGTTCCATAGGCTTTTCAGTGGCTGATTTTGTGGAAATAGGTTGCCAGGCCTTTCCTCTGAGGTGCCTCTGGGTGGGCTCAAATCTTAAGCCTTTTAGTTAGCAGCCGAGGGCATTAACCATTTGCACCACCCGGGGACGCCCTATGATCCTCAAGACTACCTTATTAAGAAGATATTGTTACTAATACCCTCATGTTCAATGTAAGTGAGTACTTCAGGGACTTGCCCAAGGTCACTAGCCAGAACGAGGGCAGATTTGAACATAGGAGCCCTGGTGGCACAGTGGTTGTTAACAGCTTGGCTGCTAACCAAAAGGTCGGCAGTCAAATCCAACAGCCCCTCCTTGGAAACCCTGTGGGGCAGTTCTACTCTGTCCTATAGGGTCTCTGTGAGTTGGAATTGACTCAACAGCAACGGGTTTGGTTTTTGGTTTTAATCAGGTCCCAGAGCCCACATTCTTCACCACCCGTCTGCTTGACCTGTTGTTTGGCACAGGGAAAGCACTCAGAAGGCGCTACTTTTTACTGCTGCTATTATTCTTCTGCTATTATTGGCATTATGACAGGGTCTCACTGAGGCTGAGGGAGGCTCTAAGCCATTTCTGGCTTTTTAAGCTGTTGATGTAAATGAGGAAATGTCAAAACAGGGTTACAAAAATGTTGTTGCTGTTGTTGTTAGGGGCCGTTGAGTCGATTCCAACCCATAGTGACCCTATGCACAACAGAACGAAACACTGTCTGGTCCTGTGCCATCCTTACAATTGTTACTATGTTTGAGGCCACTGTTGCAGCCACTGTGTCCGTCCTTTTCATTGAGAGTCTTCCTCTTTTTTTGCTGACCATCTACTTTACCAAGCATAATGTCCTTCTCCAGGGACTGGTCCCTCGAGACAACATGTCCAAAGTACATGAGACCAAGTCTCACTACCCTCACTTCCTTTTTTTTTTGGGGGGGGGTTGCAAGAAGCTTATTAGTGATCAATACCTGTGGAAGGAAGGGGAACGAAGCAGGGCTGGGCTGAGGTGACCAACCATCCTGGTCCACCAGGGACTGAGGGTATTCTGGGACACAGAATGTTGCTAAAACCAGGACAAAAAAACCTCAAACTTATTGCCATTGAGTCAACTCCAACTCAAAGCGACCCTATAGAACTGAGTAGAACTGCCCCAGGACAGCCTCAGGCAAACTGGAATGACTGGTCACTTACCTAAGGGAGAAGTCAAACCGAGGCAGTCTCCTCAAAGCCTCAGCCAACCAGGCAGGGAGCTCTGTTGTGAATATTACTTGTCAGAATTGTCTCATGTCAGGCTGAGATGTCTGGGCCTTAATGTCTTGCTTCTCTCAGTCACTTGATATAGACTGCTTTGGGAATGGCATAGCCTCCGGCCAAATAGCTGAGGCTGAGGCTGACCGTGAAGGAGCTGACAGCTGGAGGCAGCTAGGCAGAAAGTCCTTTAAAAGAGGATCTGGGCAGTGCAGCTCTGCATCTACCACACACACCATTTTGTGCCCCAGTTTCCTCATCTGCAAATGGAGATTTTTATTAGTTGCCGTCTGAGTCGGCCCCGACTTATGGTGACCTTATGTGTAAAACAATAAAACGTTGCCCCATCCTGCGCCATCTTCATGATCCTTCATGTGCCTGAGTCCATTGTTGTTGCAAATGTCACCACCTTTACTTCTAAGGAGCATTTTGCCTGTACTTCTCCCAAGACAGATTTGTTTGTTCTTCTGGCAGTCCATGGTATGTTCAATATTCTTCGCCAACACCATAATTCAAAGGCATTAATTCTTCTTTGGTCTTCCTTACTCATTGTCCAGCTTTCGTATGCATATGAGGCAATTGAAAATACCATGGCTTAGGTCAGGTGCACCTTAGTCCTCAAAGTGGTATCTTTGCTTTTCAACAATTTAAAGAGGTGTTTTGCAGCAGATTTGCCCAATGCAATTCGTCGTTTGATTTCTCGACTGCTGTTTCCATGGGCGTTGATTGTGGATCCAAGTAAAATGTAGTCCTTGACAATTTCAATCTTCATTTATCATGATGTTGTTCATTGGTCCAGTTGTGAGGATTTTTTTTTTTTTTTTTTTAGCAAATGTTTATTTAAAAATATGTCTTCAGGAACACAGCAGATAAGCCACTAGCTGAGTTTCCCACTGGAGGCTGCTCTGAAGCTCCTACCCCCTCCCCACCCCAGGATTTTACCAAGGGGCAGAGCAGGCTTGAGGCCAGGGGCTTGGATGAGAAGTGGGAAGCGCGCCTTAGAGCTATGGAATATGAGTCAGTCTTCTGCAAGGCTGGTTTGAGCGAAAGAGTATGATGATGACTGGTGGGGACTTGGCATGCAGAGTAAATGCTGACCATTCATAGTATAAACAGTAACATTTTATGATCTTGGAAATAATGCCACCATTTAATTACAAATGCACACTCATGTAGCTGGCTGTTATTTTAAAGTTTTTGAACAGAGGTCCATCTTATTTATTCTCAGGTTCAATGCTAAAACCACTACCACCTCTCCCAGCCCTTTTCAAATGAGGGCATAGAATAGAAAGTAGTAGTATTGATTGGGCACATCCTATATGCAAAGTCTTGTGCTTGGGGCTGTAACAATGGCAGTGACATTAACAAAAGCTATTTTCTGAGCACGTACTCTGCTCCAGGGTAGGCTTAGTGCTTCCCATACGTTATTTAAATCTCACAACAACCCTATGAGGCCAGTATATTATCATCATCACCATTTTACAGAGGTGGAAATTGAGGCTCAAAGAGGAGGTCTATCAGATTCTAGGTCTGCTGGAATTTTGTTAGGAATCTGCTCCTGTTGAAATTGTCCATGTCGATGTGACAGGTCAAACTGTCTCTTTAAAACTGAGTTTTTTTCATCTGTAAAATATGAGAAGTAGACCAGATTATTTCTAAGGTCCTTTCAAAGTTCTAACTTCCTCTCTATCAGAGGAGTAGTAATTTCATATAAAGTGGAAGTTTGTCTTTCAAATTATACTTTCCCACAGACTTCTATTTTTCTAACTTCCATAGATGTTTATAACCTACATACAGGAAATTGTATGCATCTTGGTGAATGAACAGAACGGACACCCACATGTAACCAGCACCTACGTCAATAAACAGAACCACAGTCTTCTGTTCTAGCTTCACAGATATGTTCCCATTAATTGCTTTGGTTATTTAACTAATATTTATTGAGTGTCTACACTGTGCTACAAAAAGAATGAAGAGTAGAAATCGACAGACAGTAGGAGACCGTAGTTCTAGCCTTGCCACTCTGAGACCTGGGACAAATTACTTAATCCTTTCTGGAAAACAAAGAAATAAGATGATAAAATCACACACCTCTTTTAGCTCTAGATGCTGTATAATAAGAATTATATTCAGGAACGTGAATCATTCCACAAAGCATTGTGTCTTTGTCAACCTGAATCCTCTTTATATTTAATTTTCCTCTATGACTATATCAAGAGAAGTTAATCAGATTGTAATCATGTCATAAGACCTTTCTACAATTGTTAGGGTACGTGGAGCGCAGACTCCAAACAAAATTGTGAAGGAAGCAAACATCCTTAGCCCTCAGCTTCCTTTTTTTTCCTTTTTTCTTTTTTCCTTTCTACCACTTTTCTATCGCCTGGGAGCCTTGTACTCTTCCCTTCTCCCTTATAAAAGCCTGCTGTTCAGAAAGGAGTCCCTGGGTGATGCAAACGGTTAACATGCTTGGCTGCTAATCAAAAGGTTGGCAATTCGAGGCCACTCAGAGGTGACTCAGAAGAAAGTCCTGGTGATCTACCTCCAAAAAGTTTATGGAGCACAGTTCTACTATGACACACATGGGGTCAACATGAGTAGAACTCAACTGGACAGCAACAGGAAAAGTATTAGGAGAGGAGCTTTGTGGTTATCCTTGACAGCTTCTCTCTGTCTGTGCGAAACCAATAGGGCCACTAGGTGTGCCCTGAGGGGCTCAGACCCAACTCTTTAGCAGTACCAGTGGCATGGGTATCTGTTTCCATGCCTGGCTCTGTAACTGGACTCTAAGCTCCTTCACAACAGCAGCCATATCTTACTCTGAGCAGAAACTCAGTTGGTAATTTTAAATAAACCATTTCACATCCAAGTGTTCACTGCTGATGAAGCCTATTTTGTTAGCCTTCTCTGAAGTATCTGTGCTTTATGAGGAGAAAAGTTCTCAATCTCTTTATGGAGATCTTTAGACCATCATAAACAAGTGGGTTTATTCATCAATAAACAAGGTGTAGGGAGGGGCCAGTCCTGGTATCCCTGAGATCATGCTCTTCTCTGTATCCACAGTTAAAAACATTCCTCACAATTGTCCCTGGAACCTTTTCCAGAAAAGTAAAAACAGCCCCCAGGTGTCTGATTGCTTTCCAGCCTATCATGTTGTTATGGCAACTCTAGACTTCATAGTAAATTAAAAGCCAATTGTTTTCAACATTTAAACTCTATTTAAAAAATCATTAATGAGTGTTTTTATTTTATTTTTTTAAATTTTATTGTGCTTTAGGTGAAAGTTTACAGCTCAAGTTAGTTTCTCGTTCAAAAATTTATACACATATTGTTTTAGGACATTGGTTAAAATCCCCATGATGTGATAGCACTCTCCCCCTTTCCACTCCGGGTTCCCTGTTCCATTCATCCAGTTATTGTCCCTTCCTGCCTTCTTGTCTTGCTTTTGGGCAGAAGCTGCCATTTAGTCTCATATTTTCATTGAACTAAGAAGCATGTCCCTCAAGTGGTGTGTTGCAGTCTCCTACTACTATTGTCGAACTAATTATTTCTCATTTCAATGCAGTTGTTTTATGTGTTTTGAAGCCCTGTTATTGGGTGCATGTATATTTATCATGATTTTGTCTTCCTGGTTTATTGACCCTTTAATCATTACGTAGTGTCCTTCCTTATCCTTTATGGTGGATTTTGCTTTAAAGTTTGTTTTACTGTAGATTAACATTGCCACTCCTGCTCTTTTTTGGTTATTGTTTGCTTGATACATTTTTTCCCATTCTTTGAGTTTTAGTTTATGTCTTTGTGTCTAAGGTGTGTCTCTTGTAGACAGCATATAGATGGATCATGCCTTTTTTTATCCATTCAGCCATTCTCTGTCTCATTACTGGTGCATTTAGGCCATTTACATTCAGTGTAATTATTGATAGGTATGAGTTTACTGCTGTCATTTTGATTTTTTTTTTTTTTTTTGGTAGTGTTGATGGTTTCTTTGTTCCACTTGATTTTATGTGCTGAGCTCTTTTTGTTTGTGGATTTTCTTTTCGTTTTTTTGCTGTTGTTGATTGTCATGTTTACTAAGTCTTTAGGTTTTTCTTTT